CTTGTCGGCTGTGGAGGGGTATTTTCTGCCAACATTTTCTATCACGTTTTCCCAGATTATACATACAGAAAAGTGTACCAGGCCTGGCACAAAGGAGAACCCGCCAGCCTGTCGGAGAAGCTTGAGAACGTCTTTCAAGAGGTGCTGAAAGATTCTGCTGTCAGCTTCCCTGAAAACTTCAGTGCATTTGCTGCCTTCGGCTTTCACCCGGTAGGGGCAGGTGTTCCATGGCTTCCCTCTGGAGCACAGATAGGCATCCCAGCCAACTTCAACAGCACCACTGATGATCCATCAGGCATCACCAACCGCACTATTCTCCTCAATGGCAAAGAGTTGGAGTGGGACAGTGATTCAGGTGTTGCTCTCAAAAACTCCCTGGTGTTCTCTCCGGAGGCACAGAAGTTTGCTATAGCCCGAGAAGTGGCCCGACTGGGGGCTGGGGGTCCCTTGTTTCACGCTGCAGTGGCTCCAGCATGTCTGGCATGGGCTTGTATATATAGCGTAGCCCTCAAGCAGATCTTTGGGCTCCAGGCTGGGTCCATCATCTTCAGGGCTGGTGTTAATGTGGTTGCCGTGGGTTTAGGAGTCGTGTCTTATATCCTGGCTTCTGATGCTCTGAGCCAGTGGTTGGACTATAGCTCAGACCACCGTGCAGCATGTCTGTCAAGTGATTATGCAAAGGGTGGCTTTGAGTTCTATGACAAAATCTTGACACGGAACAAGACCCTGCGCTCTCTAATGGGCTCAAAAGGGGAAGAGATGTACGCCCACAGTGGAAACTTGTTTCCTGGACATCTGCTGCAACTCAGACATGCCCCTTACACATCTAGACGGGATAGGATTTTAAATCTTTTAAAAAATTATAAAGTATGAACTGTCTGAAATGAATATATTTAAAAGCATGTATGTGCTTACATTAGCTATTGGATTCTTCCATGTGAAAACCATACTGCGATACTGCATTTGAATGTGAGACTGTATATGTACAGTGCTTTTGAAATGGTGCAACACACCTTTATATAACTTGTCTTCCCTTTCTCACAAGTAAACAATTTACCTTAAGTCCATCATGTTCTAGTCTACATCTGTCAAAGTATCATGCTGCTGATTAGTTTACATTATAATCAGTAAGAGACATATTATGTATGCCATATACCATACATATTTACGTATAACATCAGAGTGACATGAAAAACAAATTGACGTTAAAATGTGTTAACATGTTGAATTTTTAAAGTATTTTTGCTGATGATACATGCCTACATAACAGCCATAGTGTGACGGTCAGCTAAAGGATGGATGCCAAAAAGATGTTTGAGAGGCAATCTTGCTCAAGCACACATTGGGTGTGGACGTTTCCCGGTCCTTACATACTAGATCACTCATTCT